CATTATACACGTTACATGAAGAAGACATAACTTACACATCTATTATACGAAAACTCACCATTATACACGTTACATGAAGAAGACATAACTTACACATCTATTATACGAAAACTCACCATTATACACGTTACATGAAGAAGACATAACTTACACATCTATTATACGAAAACTCACCATTAAACACGTTACATAAAGAAGACATAACTTACACATCTACTATACGAAAACTCACCATTAAACACGTTACATGAAGAAGACATAACTTACACATCTATTATACGAAAACTCACCATTTCGTTCCTGGCGAAACCAAAACCATTATTTCCACTTAACTTGTAGTTGGCCACCATCTCGTACACCAGCTGCCCACGTCCATCGTTGCAGGTCTGTGCTACAGGTTGAATAAACACGTATGGAAGTGAGGAAAACTAGAACATCTATTGAAAAGTGTGTTTATGTATTGTTTCTAAAACACGTAAAGTGTTTTGGTGTGACATTTGTAAATGTTTTTTGTACTTTGTACTTTAAAAATTCAGAATATGGATATATATATATATCCTGAGAAATATTTTATGGATATATATATATATCCTGAGAAATACTTTATGGGTATATATATCCTGAGAAATACTTTATGGGTATATATATCCTTAGAAATACTTTATGTAAATATATCCTAAGAAATACTTACACGAATTATATGTTCTTCGAAAAGAAGTGAAATATCCGAAGAAGGAAGAGGAGCGTTAATTTAAACTGCGGTGTTTATAAGTTAAACACATAATTACATATGTATAGTTATTTACTTATACTATATATATTAACGTCGAGTACATAAACCTAAAACAATCAGGCGACAAAGATAACAAGTGTATTTATTCGTAATAGCTTTGAAAAATCTGAGTAATTTACTATTCTAGTTTTAAATCCTTGCTGTCTTATAAGTTTATATTTATACTGATACAAAGATAGTCTGTTAATTTTATATCACTGCCAGTATGCTGGTGTTAATCTGTCCTGGTTGTTCTCATCTTACATTTATGGTGTTGGAAAACTACTAAGTAAGTTTTCTAATACTACCACAATATTAGTGTTAAACTGTCAGGATGACTTTCAAACCTACAATTATAGGTTAGGACAAACCAGACTACCAGTAGATTGGTGTTAATCTGTCAGGATGACTTTCAAACCTACAATTATAGGTTAGGACAAACCAGACTACCAGTAGATTGGTGTTAATCTGTCAGGATGACTTTCAAACCTACAATTAAAGGTTACGACAAACCAGACTACCGCTAGATTGGTGTTAAACTGTCAGGATGACTTTCAAACCTACAATTATAGGTTACGACAAACCAGACTACCACTAGATTGGTGTTAAACTGTCAGGATGACTTTCAAACCTACAATTATAGGTTACGACAAACCAGACTACAACCAAGATACATAAATGGTGAACTATTTTATCTCGTCCAAGGCTAATGGGTGTTTTAGTTTTTTTATTTTATATTATGTAGAAAATCAGGGAATAACTTGTACATAAGAGGACAAACCATTCAAATACTAAATTAATATTTTGTTGGAGTTCCTTATCTACATCCAAGTTAATTCCTTTAAATCGGAGGTTCTTAACCTTTTTTGCTCCATGCCCCACCTCGACATCTCAAAAAATTTGATGCCCTCTTAATATAAAAACAAATTTGGTGTTGAAAAAATATAATAATAATAATAATTTAATGTAAAATTTAGAAATTTACCAAAAAAATAGGAGTTTAATTTTTCTTATCTTAGCATTTTCAAAATGTCCCCCAATGTATTGAAATTGCCCCCCCCCTGCTTTAAATCGTTGTTAAAACGTCGTAATAGTCTCTATCGTTTTCTTATTTTTCTGGTTAATCATTTTAGATTAAAAAAAATGGAAGAACACCAAGAAGTTGTTAGTGCAGAAGAAAGTCAATATTGCTTGTAACACCTTTAGCCTAACAAAATGGAGTAGTCTGACAACCGCTTCGTATAATACTCTTTCACGCAGTTGGAAGCACATAAATTAGATTAGTTAGACTACTGCAGAAAACTGGTTCAAAAATAGCTACTATTCAAAACAAAATATAATTAAAATAGTCTTGCAAAGCTTCAAATTATATAAACTGAAACTGGACTATACTATTTCAGGAATCTCGTTTCAAATTCGCTTTTGACAGACACTAAAGCTGAATCAGAATTTATAATACGTTCCATTAAACTTAATTTTTATTTTTATTTTTGCGAATGGCCCAAAGATTTAACACTGGAAAATCCAGGCTTAACCCGATTTCTAACCCTGTCCTCAGTGGATGAGTGATAATTTTAATAATTCAAAACGCTAAGATTCGGAGTTCGATTTGCCTTGGCAAACAGAGCTCAGATAGCCTATTTTGTAGCTTTGGGATAAGACAAAACAAACAGACAGACAATTTCTAGCCTTAAAAAAACGGCAATGACTTCAAAAATGACTATATTCTGTATCTTATTCAACATGACTATATTCTATATCTCATTCAACATGACTATATTCTATATCTCATCAACATGACTATATTCTATATCTCATTCAACATGACTATATTCTATATCTCATTCAACATGATTATATTCTGTATCTTATTTAACATGACTATATTCTGTATCTCATTCAACATGACTATATTCTATATCTCATTCAACATGACTATATTCTGTATCTCATTCAACATGACTATATTCTATATCTCATTCAACATGACTATATTCTATATCTCATTCAACATGATTATATTCTGTATCTTATTTAACATGACTATATTCTGTATCTCATTCAACATGACTATATTCTATATCTCATTCAACATGACTATATTCTATATCTCATTCAACATGACTATATTCTGTATCTTATTCAACATGACTATATTCTGTATCTC